TTTGGAAGTCAGTGTCGTTGGCTAACAGTTCTTCCGTGGTACTGATCATATCTTGCTGACCAGGATATGTAGGTATAGGGCGTTCTGGAAAGGATTGTATATGTGTGTAGGGGTATCTAGACTTAGCGATTTGCCGTGATCTTCGATGCGAAGATACCTGTGGATGCGAAGATTGGGTCTTATAATATGTTGGTGCGTGACGATTTGGCGGTGGCAACATTTCCGATCCTCGGCTCCCGCGCAAAACTAAATTCGAACCCAGGGTCGGTTGGATGGAACTGAGCTGTGGCTTGGTGGGGGCTTGGCTCGAAAGAGGTTCATCGTCGGCTTTGCGCTTAGATTCTCGGCGATCTGTTTGCCGGGGCTGCGAACACTGTAAATTGTGAACCTTGCATTGCCAACATTTTTTAGGCCACGCTCCATCGTTGAATATGCACTGCATTGACACAGTTAGGGAATGTTTGAAGGTGGGGAATCCTGCAATAAACTGACAGCTTGCTTTCGCTTGCGGCATTCTTCGCATAATTTGTGATTCAACTTCTCCCTCGGTTTGCTTGATGTTTCGCTTAAGCACAGGCGCTGTTGTCCCAGGCAGCGGTGACAAGACGATTGAACAGGCGCTTCCGGATCGACAGTACACTAGTTATAATGTCAGCCATTGCGCCTGGAGTCAGTTACTGCTGATCCTGGAACAGAAACCTTCTTTCTGTCAATGGAGCACTGATCGCACCTTGGCTCTCTGCTTCGGATGTGATATTTGTGCTCAGCTGTAGTGTGAGAGTTGGAAGATTGTCTGTGATGATTAATTTCTGACATCGTACTTCGATCGTAACTGTCGGTTGCACACTTAGCCACGAGAGGAATAACATGAAATATAACTACCCGAGCATACTGGATCATACACGCCTTCACTTGCGAAATCGCTGGGTCGCGGGATCGCGGAGTCGCGGAGTCGCAAACCAATGAATTAATATTCTATGGCGTGGCTCTATCATTTCATGCGGTATGTTGTCATCGTGGTTTTGTTGCTGATGTGTTCTCTACAGACAAATCAGTGGGGCCACGTTTAAGAGAGTTTAGCTAAGCCAACTGAAGAGCGGAAAGAGTCTCCGGTTGGTGAAAACAAAACAATTTGAGGAAGAGGATCCAAACAGAACCTTGAATGGCCAAAAGCCGTTTGATCCAAAGTCGATCGTCTTTGCAATCGGATGCTGAGCTATTATTGCCAACACTGACGCTCTCAGGCCGCCTCATTCTAGGAGGATTCCCGTGTAACAGCCAACGTCTCTCAGCGCTAATAGCCCCAAGCGCATTAATAACCACTAAACAATTGAAAGGATCTCTTTGTATTTCATATAGATTTTGTTACAGTAGTATTATGTTAATTTTACTATTATAATAGGCTGCCGCTTAAAGCTCATTTACTTTAGACTTTTACAGTTCGACGTAGTTAATACAGTTTACATATGTAGTTCACAGGACACTACCTGTGGATTTTACTGTGAAATTTTGGTTCCTCATTTTCTCAGCCTCAGTTGAGCACATTCCAAATTTAGTGGCAACAGCTGCTGGGTTGCGTGGCAGCTGCTGCAGTGGAAGAATTTCTCATTCACGCTCACTTCCGGAGCTTGGCGGGCGGGGTCGCGCGGTCGCGTGGTCGCGGGGTCGTGGGGCTTGCCAGCAATATTCTTTTCTTCTAAATGTTTAATAACCATTTCAAGGGTATCGCTCTGTTCCGAAACATTTGAAAAGGATTGTGTGCTTTCCTTCCTAGTCCCTGAGTTAGTAGATTCATGCCAGAAAAACTGCATGTTTCAAGATTAGTCTCCCAAGTGAGCAGCCATGAATTGAAGACAGCATCTTCATTCGCATTCCTACGATCCGAAGAGTACGTATAGGAGGTGGGTCTAGATGTTGTCAATCAGACGGCACAAACTCTGGCAATGCGGGGATTAACATCACGGGTCTGGTAGTGGAATTGGTGGTTAACACCTCACGAGGACAAACCAGTACGGTATGCAACCACGGACGTATAAAGGCAGGTTACAAGGGTAATATCCATAATTTGTACGTGTCGGAGTCCTAGTGACTCGGTACTGAGGTTCGAGGTGAAGAAAGGCACCTGCCATAACGGTCAAACGGTTGTACAACTCGCAAAAAGAAAAACATATCATCTGGCTTCAACATTATCGGAGAGCGAAGTTTCCGCCATTTCTTCTCAGTCAGAGCCAATGAGCCCTGCCTACGTCACTTACATTCTCCAATCTCTCCAGCAGTCACCAATCTTTATTGGGTAAATTTATCTCAACATAAAATTTTAGAGCTAGCCTCTAATAATGATCAGCTGGCGGTTGGTATCGTGCGTTAACTCGAAACGTCCCTGCCCAGCTCTTGTATCCGTTTTTTTTACGTCACTTGTGCCAGTTTGTACGTTTGAAGTTTCGTAGGGCAACATCATGCGAGGGATATCAGCCGTTGTAATGGAGTGTTTCGACGATCCGAGAGTGACCAATAATGATGGAGATCATCGAGATTAGATTAAAATCAACCCTAACAACGAATCTGCAACTATCCGCACACTCTAATCCCTCGTATCAATGATATAGGACAGTTGTAATGGAGTTGAACTGTTTGACTTATTGTGGTCGTAACTTAGTAGTTAGAGTTGACATGGTTGGGTATGTTTCCCTTCCAGAAGCACAGAGGCAGTGAAAAACAAGTCCCACACGTCCATTCAGTTCCTGCTTTTTATCTCGGCTGCTTGGGTCGCGGAACACCGAAAACTGCCATTTTTCACATTTCATATATGTATTTGAAGAAGACCCGAAAGAAGAGTATTATAGGGCCTCAGCCATGCTCGATCCCAGCCTCCCTGAAAATCTAGGCTGGTTCACGGGCTTAGGCCTTAGCGGGCAGAAGTATTTCTGTGATTTTCGGATGGGTCCTATGCTATTTATTGATCCCTACGATATTGATCTTACACCGGTATACTCTTTTTACACATCACTCTTATTCACTCACTTATAAAGTATGCTCCTGATTAAATTAAAGTGCCCGGAATGGTAGCAAACAGCCAAAATATAAATAAAAAGAAATCTGAACAATAACTGATTTCTGCATGGGGGCTAGTGGATACTAGATAAGGAAATTTAATACCGCTCATCTGAACGAGAGCGTACATTATGAGTACTTTAGACACGGTAATTCAGACTTCGTCATTCGAAAGCCATCCCCATTCTCTACATCAGATGCTCCAATACGAACATTAGTGCAGACATTGGTGCTGGAATATACCACAGTTACGTATTGCCAAAGGCAGTGCTAAAGAGGGCGGCACTTTTCATCCCTCATGTGAACACGCCGCCAAGCTCCTTTGATTGATTCGAGCTCTGAAATTATTGGCCGTTTTAGGGAGCCAGTGACATCACTCCTTTCCTCACAGGCGCCACGTAGTTAGGTACATTCCGTTCTTCAGCATTCGCTCACCTTTCCACATCCTCACATTCTATACTCACTCCCCACACTATTCCTCACCACCCTTCGATTGTATACCCTTCCAGTGTTCTCAACCACCCCGTCCGTCCGGGATCACGCAAGACAGGGATGGGACGGCAAAGCTCCGTCCACCCAAGGGCAGGACGGAGACGGCACCGTCCGTTCAAGCCAGGTCAGGGACGGCGCCGCCCGTTCAAGCCAGGATGGGGATGGACGGAATGGACGACCGGGACGGAGAAGAGCCGTCCCTGGTGGTCATCCACCGACATCCATGGATCTTAGTGTACAAAACAAAACTTATATGAAAATCGGTATAATTACGCTGACCGTGATGCAAGATCCGTGAACATCTGCTCCATCCGTACCACGTCAGACTCCGTTGGTCCAAAGATTAAGCCCTGCTGCACCAACGATGTCAAGTGTAAGGATATACAGTAACCGCCCGATGACGGTGGATGACGGCCAACATTCCATCCGCCTTGAGTAAGGACGGGATGGACGGGCAAGGTAACCATCGTCTTCGATTGAATTATACTTGGTTTAACATTATTGTGCAGTAAGCAGGCCAAGATGCTCAAGTAAAACTTTTGCTATTATACTCGCCTCGGCAGCACTGCTGAAAAGATTTTTTTTACGAGGGGGTAAAGCTTATATACCGCCCCGTGATATGTTTCGTTAGGTTAGTATCATTGTGTACGAATAATAACTAGAGTTGGTGTGTGTCCTCAGGCGGAGTGTAAATAGGTTTCAATTGGATTAGGAGTTGCGGGGCTCCCGGTGGGGTGTGACCACATATCTGCAAGGCAGAAACATTCATTGTACACCTCATCAACATCATCCGCCCCACCACTTGGCGGGAAATCTCCGCGTGACCGAGTCTTATGCGATAACAGATGTATGCACGGGTAAAACCTGTGCCGACGCTCATTTACATGTCAACGAGACAAAGTAAGTACAGAACAGTTCTCATTGCGCTTGAAGGTTTAAGAACCGTAGCGGCCTATCGCCATACTTTATCAGATACTTTTCCTAACCCTACATTAATCATGCCGCATAAGAGTCAAAAGTTCAGCCTCCGGACCCATGGCCTTAAGATACATTTTAAGAGGCACCCATGCTTGGATGGTTACCGTGCATAGCAACCAGCAGGCATTGTGCTACGGACACCTTTCAACTTTTCTCTCATGCTCTACCACTGAGCTACGGAGACATTTAGCAAAGTTATGCGCCAGGCTCCAAAACGGGTGCCTACTTTATTAGCGGTAGAATTTATTTGCAAAACCCATCGAATACCATGTGGACTAAAATACTTCGATTCCGCACCGTTCAATCCCATGTTGAACTGGTAGTGATATTGGTTTAATTGATGGAAGGTTTACCAATCGTAGTCACCTATCACGATACCTTGTGAGTTACTTTTACTACACCCCGCCACCCCCACCCAACGCCTACGTCCACGTACACAGGTGCACACACCAGTCATGTAACGCAAGAATCGAATGTTCAGCCTCCGGTGGGATCCAAGCCCACAACCTGAAGATACATTAGGTGTAATGTTTAAACTCAGATGGTCACCGCACAATAGTAACCAGTAGGCATTGCCGTAGACCGTAAATTTTCTCTCATGCTCTACCGCTGAGCTACGGAGGCTTCTTGCAAAGATAAGTCCTGGCCCACAAAATTAAATCCTACTTTGTTAGCGGGCAGAATTTATTTACACAACCTGTCAAATACTACATGAACCCAAATACTTTGTTCTAGTCAGTTGACGGAGGATGTCAGACCGCGGAGTAACCTGTCAACCCGCGGAGAAACTGGACTGCATGAACTGACTGGTCACTGCATGGAGTCTATCACAACTCCATGAACCGACCAGCCACTTCATTGAGCCATGGTCGCACTGACAAAATGACAAAAGCTCGGTCGAATTAAGTCTGCGAGTATTTGTCCAATCACAAAGAGATGTATATATGTAAAATCCAACATACATCGCTCTTTCAATTCCCGGTCTTAGATTTACGGTATCTTTAAAATTGATAGAGCAGCTTTAAAAACACAGCTAAAAACCTCCGAAAATCGATATTTTTCGACAACCATTTTATCAATATTAGAGACATGGTAAATTGGGAATCGAGAGTTGAAAGAGCGATGCATTATGAATATTTCATGTATAAATAACTTTGCGATCGGAGTAACTGTTAATTTTGGTTGAGCATAATTAGCACTGGTCAGTTCATTGATCCTTGATCCGACTGGTTCATTCACGGAAGGTGGGACTCCGTGAATTGACTGGTTACTCCGCGGACTGACATTCTCCGTGGACTGACTAGAACAGTCCCTCTGATTGGAAGATTAGATCTAGAAAGCATATCGTTTTGGTCCCGCGCCGTTCAGTTCCACGTTGGGTTAGGGAGTGATATTCGGAGCTTCTCCGGACAGGGCGTGGTGACTGCAAAGCGGTTAAGCATACTGCACCTAGCGGCAATATACACGCCTAACATGTCAACTGAGGCAAAAACCGGGACTACCTTCATTGCGGAAATGGTATAAGTAATATGTCCCATGGTTACAGAGCTGTTTCCTGATTCTCATTTACTTTAGAGCAGGATGAGAGTGATTTTGTTCGTTCTGAATTTTCGTGGGGTGACAAGGATTCAAAGACCCCTGTCAATAAAAAATGTTGATGATTTCTATGGCAGAAGAATATATTATCAACACCACAAATGCGATTTTCATTTTTTGTTGGCAGGGACACTTGGGTGGAATATGGGGGGTTTAGTTTTAGTCTCTATAAATTTGGCCACTTCATAACTTTGCTGGCGGAAATGTCACCATCTATACAGGAATAGTAACATTAACCACTAGGTGCAGTACGCTTAACCGCTTTACAGTCACCACGCCCTGTCCGGAGAAACTCCGAGTGATATTGGTTTAACTGTAGATACCTGGAATTGCAAAAGACCCGCGGCATCCTATTCAACTGAATCAGTGTCGTGGCTGTTTGGCTTGAAGTACTCAGATGCAACTAAGCGGTTCGGTGGTACTGGGTTCGGGGTCGCTCTCGGTAATGCCTGAAGACTTGTTCGCTGTCCGTGATGGATTAAATAGAGAGCCAACTTTGTGTCTGATAAAATGAAGCCTCAGATAGGATTTCAACCTACGACTGTGAGATGCTACAAGCCGATTCTCCATGCTTGACTGGCCACCGCGCTTAGCAACCAGTACGCGGATCATCAAAGATTCTGTCATGCTCTACCACTGAGCTACGGAGGCGTTTTTGGCAATGCAAAGTATCGGATATGTGACTGTTCCAACAGAAAAAACGACTTCATTGACAGGCAGAACTTATTTGCAGATCGTTCAGAGACTGCATCCAGAGGCATCAATCTCGTGCGCTTGAACCCCAAGTTCCGCTATGACGCGACGTTTGGATTGACTAGAGATGTTCAATATTGTAGAAGATCTGACAGTCTCGAGTTGCCTCCTTCTGACGTAACTGCAGGTTCTCGGTCGTTGTTTGAGTGCTCGTTATTTGTTGGGATGTAATTAAATAGATCTGACCGTTTCGGAGATGCTGGGTTAGGGGTCACGTTGATCAATACTAAGACGGTAAGGACCGAATTGTCCTCAGTGCTACAATACAGTTTATCATTGTTCAGTTATCCGTAGAAATCCAGAACCAACTTCTTATTCGGTTAAAATGATCCGGTAGGATTTGAACCTACGACTGTGAGCTGGTACATTCCCTAGTTCCCATACTTGACTTGCCACCGTGCGTAGCGACTAGCAGGCATCGCGCTATGGTACTTTAATGTCTCTCATGCGCTACCATTGAGCTACAGAGGCTTTTGTTATGACATTGCAAACGTGGACAAAAGGAAACGTACTGTAGCCGCCGACCGTGAAGGATTCTAGAGGCTGAAAAACGGAATGACAATTGGCTGAAAGATTAGACATGTGCGACGTATTCTGGCTCTGTACAAATTTCCCCTCGATTGGAGTAATCAGCACAATGACTCTGTTACACGCGGGAATCTAAAATTTATAACCGATGATTCGTGCAAAAAATATGCCACCGGTGGGATTCGGACCCACGACCATGAGATTTGTGTTTGTTTTGGGCGTTTAGAATTGGCACTGTGAGGCAACCAGGCATCGAACTTCAGAGGTGTCTGAGACTATGTGCCATGGTTTCAGCTTCATGTTGGTTTGGTCACAGTGCATGTAAGGTCTGTTGCCTCTACTCACCTACTGCGTACGGCTCGCCGGTTGTGCACACTCCAGCCGCAGCCCAGTCTCATCTTCACCATCATGATTGGCCAAGCCTTGCCTTCATGCCGCGTGCTCCCTTAACTGATCCCTGCAAAATAATGCGATAGAACTATCTAAAACAAGCAGTATGGATCGGAAATCCTTCAGAACAGGACTTCTAAGGACAACATGTTAGGAACATACCAATATATCGGGGATACTGGTTGACATCTGCTCTGAGCTGGTAGATTTTCATCGATAGCAAATATGTGGCGTAGATAGATACATAGCTGTTGTATGCCGTGATTAGATAACAATGTGCCGACAAAACTGGGCTTACGGCACTTAGGGCGCGATAATATCTCCGTATATCTTGTGAATGAGCTCCAACTCATAACCAGAGAGCGGTAGCGAAATTATTTTATGCACAAAACGGAAGCTGTCCTTGTAGTACGTAGTATTAGAGCTTGCAAAACTAGGAAGCGGTGCAATGCCCGGCATGCGCACCCACTTACAATCGTCTTCCGTGGCGGGAGATGACTGCCGCAGTTGAAGCTACAGGATGCCATCAGTTTTAGATGAGTTGCAGGCAGATATATATAGGTATATCTTCCTAAAATTGTCGCTAGTGACGCTGTTTATAGAAACAGCAGTTCTGCTAGATATGTGTGTGGAATTAAATCACTTTATTTATGCACTAAAACTAGTAGCTAGAACACCTCGAGAGTGCTGAGATGTTGAAGGTAAAAAAAGTTGACTCAGGATTTTGCCCGAAAGGCCTATAGGTTTCTAGAAGGCCAGTGAAGCTGCTAGAATTGTTTGGAGAGTGGTTGCTGATGATCTGAGTCGCCGAGTAGACTCATACATAATGAGTCACTCGCCACTTACATAGCCACTGGTGTTAAACTTAGGAGTTCTAGAGTTGTCTTATCTTATTGTCTATATACGTGGAGAATGACTTCTCTTATATACTATGGTAAGTACGGTGTCATGATGTCAGGCCAAGGCCTGCAGGCATGCCATCAGGCCGAGGCATGGACGTCATGAAGTCCTACGCCACCATAAGCCCATCCAGAGATGGCCGCACCATCATGATAGATGTCGTCCACGGCCGCACCGTCATGACAGATGACGTCGGTCAAGTAGCCTATTGCAACACTTCCCCCTCTTGCTACAGTCCATGAAGCAAGAACAAAAATCAAATATAAGTGCATGAGCGAGCATACATGCGCTGCAAATTATTCCCATAGTAGCCTCCTTAAAACCCTGCGAAATGTTCAGGGAAAGAGTACTACCGTAGCCTGAGGATGGCCATCCATAAAGCAGCAAAGAAATCCATCCCTTCCAACCTTAAATCGGCCTCCTCCATTTCCTTCGAAACGAGTCATAAATCCACTATAATCGTGGATCCATCAACTACCATAATCCCATTGCTTTGGTGAACTTCTGGTGTTTCTCTTTAGCCAGAGCTTTGGTGAAGATGTCCGCTATGTTTTCGTCCGTATGTATGTAAGAATAGTTTACTATCTTTCGATTGTGGAAATCTCGACTGTTGTGGCAGCAAACGTCGATATGCTTCGTCCAAGCTTTGATGATGCCAGTAGTGATGTGAGCGAGAGCACCCTGGTTGTCGCAGTGAATTGGTAACGGTGCAGTTACAGTGGCATTGTCGGTGTTATTGTTGGCGTTATTGCTGTGGATATCCTTGTGGAGTTGAGGCAACAATTGAGACTCTCAGGAGGCCTCTGAACAGGCGGTGTATTCAGCTTCGAGAGTTGACATGGCGATTAGATTTTGTTTTCGAGATTGCCAAGAGATGGCACCGTGGCTTGTAAGGAAAATATGCTCGCCTTGAGATTTTCGATCTGCAATTAGTGATCTGACGATGGCTTAATACTCTTTGATGTCTTCTAGCTCTTTCTTCCCCCGATCCTCGGCCAAGTCCAGTTTCACATTAGGATCCATTGGAGTCGTTGCACCGTGAGCACTCTCCATGTCGAATCGTTTTTAGAATGCTGTTTATAAAGGCTTTCTGTCCAAGACTCGTGCTAGTTCCGTCATAGTGTATTTCGATGCCGAGGAATTGACGTGCTAGGCCGAGGATCATGATCTTGTACTTATCCGAGAGCTTTGCCTTTACATCGATCGCGGTTTTGAAGTAACAGTTACCACAGATATAACAGTTAGAGTCAGCGAGTGATTGTGTGAATCCAAGAGAGAGCAGAAATGCGTGGATATCTTTGTGCCATCGTGGCGGTACTTGTTTCAGGCCATAAGGGCTTACTGAAGTTTTAAGTCTGGTGATCATGGCTGCGTAGATGCCTTCCAGCTTTGCCATAATGATGTCTTCGTCATTGCTTTAGACTATATCCAAGTGTTTGATATTTCATCCACATTCCTCAACTTGAGAGATGAGATATTGAAAGGTAATTAGCTTGTCAATAGGAGCATAAGTCTTACCGAAATCAATTCATCCGTAGCCTTCGATAACTAGGCATATCACAGTGATCCACCCGGATTGTGCTCTATTTTGTAGACTTACTTGGAGCTAATCGGCTTGTTGTGAAGGATGGGTGTACACTCCTCCTCCAGCGCTCTCATTGTGCAAATGTCATAGTTTCCACATATGACTGATGTAGATGTAAGTGCTGATGCGGTCGACGCGTTCACAGAGGCTTTGGCCGTCTCGAGGCTCGATATTTTGATGTCCGGTGCTGGGCGATGCGCTGTCTGTGAATCTCGACAGAGGCGTTGATTCGGTGTAATGGTTTGTCTGTGCATCACGGTAGTAAGAGCGTCTACATCCTTGTCATGAGATCACTATGTAGGTCTCGAACCTGTTCGTGCAGGGAGTCTTTGAAGCTGATCAGCATCGGTTCAGTTTTACGATTTGTCTTGACATCATGGTCATTGGCCGCGACTTGGCGGTGTGCAGTTTATGTGATCTCAGAACCTGTGCGTGCAGGGAGACTTCGACGCTGGGGAGCGTCGGTTCTGTGTAACGGTTGCTCTCAACTGTTGGAGAAAGTCTGCATCCTCGTCAGGAGCGTCATGATGACTTATATTTGATCTCAAACCTGTGCTTGCAGGGAGCCATCGACGCTGAAGAGCATCGGAAACTTTATCAGTACAGCCATGAGCACCGCTTCCGTGGCCTTCACCTGTTCAACTGACATTATCTGCGATACGGCCATGGTGTAAGGATGAGTACGGGCAAGTATGGCTCCGTACGAGAGAGTAAGAGTAGATACAGTTACACACGAGAATAAGTGATGAAGTCATATCATTGTAAGGTAAGATGATAGCTGGAGTGCAATTGCACTCCCGCGAAGTGACTATATCCCGGGCGGTTACCCGGCGCTGGCAGGCCGCCATTACATCATCACCCTCACTAGCTGCAGACCCCCTGGGCTGCCATACCCGTACACGAGAAGAGAAGAGAAGAGAAAAGAACAAAACATCCAAGTTCTCCATGTGTCCGAATCCAAACCCACTCCTACAGCAGGCTTCCGAGCCCACCTCCGAGTGCATTCCTGATGTGACTTCCAGCTTCTCTATAGCACCGAATCCAAGTTCACTTGCAGCCCTCCGGAACCAAGCCATTCCTCTTGGTAGTATCGGCTCGGTGGTGGTTATGTCGTCATTGGCTTCCGCCATCGATCGTTAGTATGTGATTTCTCTCATTGAACATGTTTCTGAGGGGAGAGCGGCCACCATGGCCAGTGACACATCTCTCAGGCCAATTGGCATCTGATTTGTCTCGGAATAGTCTCTGCAGTAGTCAATTAACTTCAATGGGTATACTCATCTTGATTCTGATGGGCCATGCTTCTGAGGCTTCGAACTTCGGTTGCCCTTCGACTTTACTCTTTGACCTTGCCATCCGAGTTCGGTTGCAGTGCAAACAAGTATGCTTCGGCTCCAGGTGCAGCTCAAATCCGAGTACACCATCGAGTAAACCTTCGTGTGAATCTTTGAGTAAACCTTCAAGTCCATGGTTCTGAATATCCAAGTGGACTTCC